TACCTTAAACACATGTATATGTATTCTAATTAGTGTCTAAATTTGAGTTAGATGTACGAAACCTGTTCATCGAGTGGAACTAGAACTTTGAGCGGCGGAACTTCTGTCTTCGGTTCTTCGTTGATGTCCGGCGCTGGTAGACGGCGTGGCCGTGGCCGCGGCGGCTGGCGGATGATTGATGGTGGGATGTGGCGCATCGGGGAGAAACTTATATAATTGATTTGGAGAGTATGATGCAAATAAATAATTGTAGCTTAAATATAGGTTAATCAATTAATGTAAATTATAATTTTTTTATTAATGTTAAAAAAAAAAAAACGGATACATTATATTATACAGTAATAAAGTATAATAATATTTTAAAACTATTTTAAAGATTGATATGACTTCAAAGATTGTTAGCAGAGTTGAGTTTCAGTCAAATAGGAAGTATTTTGCACAGTGATAGTCAGAGTACAATACATTTGGCAAAGAACTCGGTGTTTCACTCCAGAACTAAGCACATTGACATACGATATCATTTCATCATATCTCTTTTTGAGGATGAAGTGTTGACTTTGAAGAAGATTGTACGAAGCAAGAACTCAGCAGATATGCTAACGAAGGTGGTGACCATTGACAAACTGAAGTTGTGCTCAACTTTAGTTGGCTTGCTAGGATAACAGACCGAGAAGACTACTGCAGTAATTGAGGTGTGGGAATAGATTGAAATCAGCCCACAAGTGGAAGATTGTTCAGTCAAAAAGGGTTGCTAAATGCTAATGCATTTATTACATTTGGCTGCTGAAGGCTTTCAATTATGGCTGTTGAATGTGCAGCCTTTGTGAAAAAAAAAAAAAAAAAGGGTCCAATTCCCCTCTATAAATACTACCTCCTTTTTTAAATTAATGTCTAGATACATAGCAAAATGGATGAATCAAAAAAGTCAAAACGACATTTATTTAAAAAAGGAGGGAGTAGTAAATAGAGGGGGGTTTTGATGTACAAACAACACAACCAAAAATTCAAGAAGGAAAATAGAGAGAGCGAGCTAGAAAATTATTTAGCATTGGTGTGAATTATTGAGTTGTGAGTAGCGAGTGGATTTTAGAGTGTTTTGTAAATACGAGTGTATTTCTTTTCTCCTAATAAAATATTTGCAGTAGTCCGGAGATGTAGGCATTACTGGCCAAACTTCGTTATCAATTTGGTGTGTCCAACTTTTTTTGTTTCACTTTTATAGATCCGATTTCATGAAAAATTCAACGTATTTTTCCTAACAGTACGGGCTTGGGTCGCCGATCCGAGGGTCACCGCTCTCTTCCTCCCCTGGGTTCCCCCTTCTTTCCCACATGAGGGCCATGGCGGATGCGTTTGTGGTGGTCGTTGGGCAGCTTTGTGGCGGCAGTGGGCGCTTGGCCGTCTGGCGGTTGAATCTCGTGCTTTGCGACTCTACCTCTCGCCCCCTGTTTCGGTTGTGGTGTTGGGCTAACGGCGGCTGCGGCAACAACGAGTTGTCGCCAGCTGGTCTGGAGGTTTGTGCGTGGCTTTGCTGGTACTAGTCTGAGGATGACCTCATGGGTAAGGTTTCGTCTTAGGTCCGTGTCTTGATAGTCGGTCGCGGAGTTTCTAGGATTTTGGGTCGAGATTCGATCCTAATTGAGTGGTCATCTGGGTGTTGGCTTGCATCAGCCTTCAGGTTGCTAGACGAGGTTTGGCCGGTCTGGAGAGGGTTTTAAT